AAAAACTGAATTTCATGCTTGTCAAATACTTAGATTATCACAACACATATAAGGAAACAATATTGTTTTCGATTAGAATCGTCACCAGGCTTTACTCTAATATACATGAATATTTATATGAAAATTTTAAACCGATCAAGGCAATTCATGAGTCGATAATCACGATCAAATGAAATAGATTACGTCACTGCACACAATAGGCAAAAGTACAAGTTGATAGTAGGAAGACAGGTGAGTACTGATAGTAGTAAGAAAATTATAAATTACGATAATAAAAGTTTCATCAATAGCAGGTCAAAATTAAAATAATCATTACAAAACATCAAACCATTACGTAATAAGAAGTGTGTGCATAATTAGATAGTGAAGAATAAAAAACGGAAAGAGGCAGAGAATTTCCAACAAACACAGGATGTGAAAATGATGCTAATAATCATGAAATAAAATTTAAACCAAAAAAAAATGATGGAGGTATACGATAGATCAGCCGAAAAAGTGTAAAGCCTGATGGCGATTTGATTGAAAACAATATTGTTCGCTTATATATGTTGTTTTAATTTTCACAATAGGAATCTTTAATAAATTTAGATTATGACTAAAAATTTTTCAAGTTAAAACCAATGGAAATCAGATGTAGAATACTTTCTGTATTTCTTGAAATATTTTTAAATGTTATTCGCGTACAATCAGCGAAAAAGGTTATTTTATTAATAAATAATATTTCGCTAACGAAGTTTAATTTCATCAATAACCTTTCACTTTCCATTATTTATTTAAATAAACATGTACTCAGAATGATATCATTATTAGTTCACTTTTACTATTCAATCTCGCCACACGTCATTTTGCAATTTGATTTTTATTTCTGTTAACTAACTCATTTCAATTAAACAATGTCTCATATTTGGAACAAATTTGATTATCCACTCGGTTCTTTTGATACTACATATGTGTGCTTTTCATTGAAAATTAAAAACATTATAACTTAATTGTGTGTCTACATTATGCAAATACTTTTTATTTTGCTTGATTGATAATATACAAACATGGCGAGTATAAATAAGTTTATTTATTGATTCACGTTATTGTGTAGACATTTGTATGCAGTAGATATTTTGGTACATGATACAAGTAAATTTAACTATTCACTGTTAATTAAAATGAACAAATTACTCTGCAGAGTCACATTTTTTTCTGAATGAAATATCCAACTACAGAATTATAGACTGTCAAAAAAAATCCAATAGTATTTTAGTAGTTTCAACATGCGATTTAATACTTTAAAATGATATTGTTCTAAATCAGGAATTATCAATTAATATAATTTGCCATTTTTTCTAATTAAAATAATTCAGTTTTAAACACACTGTTATATATTTACCGAAGTAATGAATATATATATAGTTCACACTGACATTAAACATTTTTTCCTAAACTGTAAAATATAATTTAATTAAGTCTAAAAAACATTGGTCATTAAAAATGAGTAAGTTATCGTTTGTGTGTTTTATTCTAGTATTACATATTTCTTGGTGTTTTTAATACTTTCTGTTTGTTTACGCTGGGTCTACTAATTCACTAATTTACTATATATACTAACATCAATAGGTAATTCCTAATTGCTTATTGAACTATTCACTACACAGTAGCTTGATGATTGTCCAAAAGAGAAAGAATTTTAAAATGTGTACATCTTTCTGCCAGAACTATTATCTGGTATCCATTTAACATTGAACTAACTTACAAAAGAATGATATGCTTAGTTTTTCATGTCAGTAATTTTTTTTGTGACTAATATTCGAAATAAATGTGAATTGTGAACGTACATATTTATTATTATGTATGGTAATAGAAATATCAATAGCTCTACAACAAGAATCGACACAAAATATATTGAAGATATACAAAACTTGGATATTTGATAATTAGGAGTCTATATTTCTTTATAATTTTCCACATACAATATATTTCTGTGGAAATTATCAGTCACTGAACACAAAATGATCTTAGCTTAGGTACGTTCGATATATAATTTAAACGTTTGCGCGCAAGATTGAAGGTCACGGCTTTGAATGCTGAGAATAGTAAGAGTTTTTGATATGTACTGCTGATGAGTCCCATACCAGGACGAAGCGACCGTCTAATGATTCCAAGTTTCTAATGGCAGTCTGATAATGATCGATTTATGATTTAAAAAATTAAAAATAATTTTCTACGGGGTGAAATATAAAAAACCTCTATATTATGTAAAAATTATTCATGAAGATGTTTTAAAATGATAGTTAACAACGAGAAACTTGAAGTTTTATATGATTGACAATCTAAATTAATAAATGAATAATAGAACTATGTTGAATTCATGTATATTAGGTATAAACTGATATTACTAATTAAGTGATTTACAGTGCTTGCAGATTTATAAAGTACAGAAAAATATAAAAACCTAACGACTGCAATTTTGTAAAAGTATGAGATTGAAACAGATAGAACTGTTATATAGTACTTTCTTATTAGAATAAGTTTTAATTGAATATTGAGATTAGGTGATTTATTTTAATCGTTACGTAAAGAAATGAAAATAATGTCTACAATTAAATACACTTCTGGTAAGGCTTCCACATACTTGAAGCCTAGATCTGTGAAAAGCATTACACTTATCAGATACTTACTGCACTAATTGTGACTGAAAAAAAACTTTGAAATTGATAATTTGGCTTTGGAACTCATACAGATAGTTGAAGTAAGTTAGGTATTTATCAATATCCTACACTTAATTTTTTCCATACGTTAGTAAACATTGTAGTTGTTAAAAATAGCTGTTTCGTTGATATTTTCTTCAAACATTTGTTGCATACATTTTAAAAAATTACATAATGAGATATTTTGTGTCGATACAATGCCAGTTAGTAAATAGCAGTTGGAAATAGACAGTTCAGAAATCAACATCATACTGACGTTCATTCCTTCTCACCAGATTACTAGCCATAGCGATGTCTCTGATTGTAATTTTTGTATACCTTGTGAAAAGTTTATGTACGCAACTGAATAGATTATACCATTAATAGACATAATCGACGTGTTGAAACAAACAGATAGAGGTAACTTATTGAAATATTTCGATTTTCAGAAACAGGTAACTCAAATATTCAAGCAGGCAGCCTAGGATTACCAAACATATTTAAAGTAATTTATACTATATAGAATATGAAATAGAATATTTTAGGATGAAAAAACTCTTATTCTAACATGGCTAAATATTAAAAAAGATAAGTAATCTATCTGCAAGCCTCACTATTCTATGTTCAGAAGTTAGTTATAGAATCTAAATAATAATATAATGTCATGATGTATAAAATTATTCATGTGCTCGGTGGTTTTTTTTCTAGTTTATTGAACAAATATCGAATTTATTGATAAAAGTCACTTTAAGTAATAAAAAAATCAACTGGGTTAAATTATTCATGATTACATTTTGATAAATTTCTTCTTGAATAAATGCCAGTGTTCTAGGAAGAAGATTTACATTTTTTGAGTGGGATAGAAACTAACAGTAGGCATGTAAGATTGTAGAGTATCAGATGAAAATGTCATAATTACCAAAATGACTGGTCTGAAAAACAGGGTTAGGTTGTAATAAATAAAGTAAAACGATTGACTAAAGATTTCCGTGTTTAATGACAAGTACCGTCAAATAATTTTTTAGGAAATCAGAATAAAGATTTAGAAATCAAATGTTCCTTAAACATTTATTTATTCACATGATGTAAGGTAGATTTTATAAAATGATCGCACTATCAAAGCTAAATAAAGCCAAAAGGTATGAATATATTTATATATATATATAGGTTATTGTTGTTCAATCGTCTTACATAAATATCTCACTATAAGAAGCTTTTGCAACCTGTTTAAAATAAAGGGAATTTTCATTAAGAACCGGTATCAACTACTAGGAAGCTGATCAAAAACCCTGAAGTATTGAATAGTTTCTACCTCTTTAAAGGAGAATTCTGAGCACCACATTCTCATAGCTTAATCAGAACTGCATAATAAAAGTTTCAGGTCTCCTGCTGAGAATGTTACTTTAAGATAGTACAATCACCATTTATTGCGATCGATGATTTCACACCAGTCATGTTTGAATGCTACTGGATATATTATCTCTCTGATAATTTACGAATCTATACAGGGTGACTTAGTTGAGGAGGAAATCAGGAAGAAGCGGTGGAAGTGGATAGGAAACACACTACGAAAAGCACCTAACTGCGTCACGAGACAAGCCCTCACATGGAACCCTTAAGGCAAAAGGAAAAGAGAAAGGCCAAGGAACACATTACGCCGAGAAATAGAGAAAGAAATGAGAGGAATGAACAAACATTGGACAGAACTGGAGAGGGAAGACCAGGACAGAGTTGGTTGGAGAAAACTGGTGGGCGGCCTTTGCACCATTGGGGGTAACAGGCGTAAGCAGGTGTAAGTAAGTAATATAGAGTGGCTATATGATGAAAACTAGCATGGCCGCTTATTAATAGGAAGTAGGTTAAGTTATTCAAAATGAAATTCTAACGTTATTGTTAGCTTGATATATATCAATAAACGCAACTACATACAGCAAGATAAATGATTAACAATCATACAGAATGTATTTACGGTAATTTAGCATAGACAGTCATAATAGTTTTTACTCAAAATTACTATACTATAAAGTGAATTCTTTCTGCGTTTCTTCAAAGCACAAGTCACAACTCAAATGGTCTAGATCATTTTTGTAAATCACAGATAGTGAATAATTCTATAACGGATTTTTTTGTATATAACTAATGTAATTATCTATTTTTAAATTTGATTTTAGAATAATAAAACGCTCAAAATTCTAATAAAAAATATTCAAGAAATGTTGGATATAAAGTGTATACATTTTATCAGAAACAAAAGAATTACAACCATCATATCAAATAACAAAAACTGATTGGAAATACAATTTTACAGAGCCATCAAAATAAATGTACATTTTTGATATTGTACATAAGTTGACATATTTTTGTTGGCAATTCTCTATCTGTTGTTTACTGTTCTATATATTGTTTATATGCAACTATGTGAAATGTAACGATTGTGTACTACATATAGACGATTTAAATAACTGTGCAAAATTAGCTGGTGTTCAACGTATTCCGGAAAAATATGAAGGATTTGGCTTTGGTTTCGGCTCAGTCGATGATGTGGAACAAATGTGTCGGTAAATAATTTGCATGCAATTTTGAATGATTTTCATTTTTAAAAATAATAATAGTAATTGGTGATGTTGTTATGTTTAACTATCTAATTAAGTTATTAGTACTTAAATTACATTAAAATGAAGTAAGTAGTGTTTTTTATTATGGTTGAATACTAAACAAAAAACTGATGTGAACACAAATGGCTTAGCTAAAATTTTATACTTTACTAATACTTCTTTGTAAGTATAAAAGTTACTTTTAATATGTTTTGTTGTAAGACACAAAATATATAGATGGTTCGACTGACAGTAATACTGTCACAAACATTCATAAACACTTCATTTAATTAAAAATCTTTGTAATTTTTACCTGTACTTTTGGAATATTTGTACTGAGGAGCTTTCAAAAAATAACAAGTTGGCACCTACTTACTCTTATCACCCATCGATGAGCATATGCTACGGACCAGCATTCTTCAACCAGCTCTATCCTTCCCAGTTCTACCCAATCGCTATTCCTCCTTTCTTGTCTGTTTCCAAGTTTTAAATCAGTTTATTTCTTGGCCTACCTCTCTTCTTCTTCCCTTGAGGATTCCAAATTAAGGTTTGGTTCGTGACTCAATTGGGTGATTTCCGCAATGTAAGGTTTATCCACCTAAAGCGCCTCTTCTTGATTTATTCTTCCACTGGAATCTGGTTTTCTCTGTGCCGCATTAGGTTGTTGCTGGTAGTGTCTGAGCAATAGATCTTGTGTAGGCAACTGTTAATAAATACCTGTATCTTTTGGATGATGGCTCTCGTAGTTCTCTAAGTTTTAGCTCCGTCCAGTAAAACTGTCTTGATGCTTGCAACAAAAATCGTGAATTTGGTGTTAGTTAAAAGTTGTTTCGAGTTCCAGATGTTTCTCAGTTGTAGAAATGCTGCCCTTACTTTGCTAATCCGCGCCATCACATGTGCATCATATACACTCTGCTCGTCAGTGATGCTGCCCAGATATGTAAAGGTTCCTACATCCTCCGATGCTTCTCCATGAAATGTGATTTGTTTGGTGCACGTTGTGCTGTATTGGAGAATCCTGGTTTTCCCTTTATGTATGTTGAGGCCTGCTACTGAGGCTGCTTCTACACCGGTCGGCTTCTCTTGCATTTGTTATTTCGTGAGCGATGAAGTACCGAATAATCTGCGAAATCTAGATCATCCAGCTGCATCCCAGTTGTCCATTGTATCCCATGCTTTCCTCCAGATATTGACGTCTTCATAATCTAGTCTATCACCAGGAGAGAGGGAAAGGGTGAGAGTGAGAAACCTTGCCCGGTCTTCACCTCGAACGAGTCCGTCAGCTGTCTTCCATCCACAAATCCTCAGTTTAATTCATCATAACAATTCCGTATGATCTTTGGAGTCTCTCAGGTACACCATATTGTTGAAAATGTTTCCATAATTTTCTTCCTTCCTTGCTGTGAAATGATTTTCCTTAGTTGAGAAAGTTGATTCATAGTTATATTCAACAAATCGTTCTACAGTGGTCCATAGTGCCGTGATTTGGTAGGTACACGAATGGTCCTGCTCACCCGTAAATCTGTTCTTGAGTTTCAGTGATTTGTTCATCTTTCTTAGTCTTAACGGATTACTCCAGTTTGCCGAATTTTTCGGATTACTTTGTTGAATCTTTTGTCCCTTCTCGTGCATCCTTTTCTGTTGTCATTGTTAGATCAGCTCTAATGCGACTCAAAGGTCATGTAAGGCCTGAGACTTAATGATGAGAGTTAAACTTTGTCGGTATCTTAATGTAAGAGTATATTGAAATTTTTTAGGGTTGTTTCCCTAGATTACTAGTGCTTCGTTAGGTTTGTTTTCATCTGGACCATAACAGGGAAGTATCGTTTTTTGTTCGCTCGTGTTTGATACTTTAATGATCATTCCGGTCTCACACATTGTGTTTACATTCCGTGTGCTTATGTTAACTGTTTCTGTATTTTTCTAAAGGGGTACCGACCTCTCGACTTCCGTCACCATGATGTGTCATTTAACTTTTTAATAAAGAACTTTTAACTCTGAGGACAGAGTTCAGTTGGTCTTTTTCTGTTTAAATGTTTTGTAATAACACCTCTTTCTATACAATAAGGTTTCCATACCCATGCCAAAATCTCTAGCCAGGCTTCGAACCGAGTGCGACCTAGGAAGGCTCCAGCTGGAGTTAGCAAGTTGGTTATTAACGTTAATCAAAAAAAGCCTGCTTACTAATTTGAACATCCTTTTTTATTTTTTTTTCAGAACAAGGTGGCATATCAAAGTTTATTCATGTGCTCAGTTAACGATTCTAAATCGTTGTTCACCTGAGTCGACTTCTCATTTTCGAAATACAATGTGGCAGTTTATTTTTGATACAACACCCTACGAGAAAGCAGCAAACTATTTATGTCAACAGTATAATCTACGTAGTACGTGAGTTAAATGAGCTTCAGCTGACAGTTAATTCATTTATTTTTAAATTTTTTATGGATAAATTTTAATGAATATGGTATGAGGTCAGACAAATGAAGCATTCATACTCATGCACAACAACAATGATGAATGTTGAGTATTCTCACCTTACGCGTCAATGAGATTTTAAAATTACATTTTAATTCAAAGTTGCTAGAAAGTCAGAAGCAAGAGGGTTGCTTTCATTTATCTGTAAAAACCAATTCTGTTATCTCAAGTCAGTCTGTGAATAAGTTAAATCGAATTTCGATCAAATAATTTTAATTTCACTCAATAGAGTGGACTATGCAGAATGAGGTAGATCTCATTTTGAAGCATCATCAAACAAAAGAAACTATATCTCTGACTTTAGTAATTTATTTTTTTTATTCTGGTTAGCGTTTTTTCAACAGCTTGATTTTTAAGAACGTGTGTGGTCAACCCTATTCCCAACCTTCCTGCAAAACCCGAGCTTGGGACCAGCAGTGACTACAGAAGGGCTGCAGGTGGAGTTACTTTATTAATTTTTACTTTATTAGTTGTTCGGAATTGTTTTACAGTGTGTATCATAAAATCAGCAAACTACTGAAGTTAAATCGAATGTTTACTGCAGAGTGAGCATTACAACTAAGCTTATAAGTAGTCTGATGAGGAAATGCAACAGAGTACTGTCTTGAATTTACGAAAAAAGCGAAGAGTATTAGATGTGGACGCGTGCTGCGATCAGAGTGTTTTGAAGAATAGAAGAGAAGAAGAGTAATCCAAGAATACGATTGTTTTGCAAATGGATGTTTTTGATAAGTTATACACTGTTTTGGTTGCAAGCTGTCTTCTTCCAGTAGAGTAGCCATACCCAGATAACATAAAGCAGTCCTTAATAGAATAACACCTAACTCTATGCTCATGGTCTCAAATTTTTAGTTATGTTTATACTCTAAAGAAGTCACCACTTAAGTGAACGTCATATCCTTGCTACCAAATACGATCTCAAAACAGACAACAATTTATTACATTGACTTCTAGTCGTTCAATTTACCTGTGTGATAATTGACTCGTTTTAATTCTTCTATACAGTTTTTAGGTATCATCGTGATAAATGTCTTACTGTATATGAGTCTCAAGTTGAAAACTGTTCCAAAATCTATTCAAATCTTTTGTCTGAAACATATTTGCAATTGGCTAATAGTAATCCTGTGAACTCACGTAATGCAGATGAATATGCTAATTATATGAAATCAGTTTTACGTTCAACATATTGTAGGTAAGTTGAGAAACTTTCCACAATGGTGAGTTAATGCTAGCTCAAAGTCGCTATACTTGTGAGATTTCATTTTCTTTCCAAATGACATAATTAGTACAAGATACGAAAGGAATGGTTAGAATCGTTTCGTTGTTGACATTCTTAAGCAGACTTAACTAGTCTTGCTTAACTTATATCATCCTAGACGCCGTACCTTATCTTAGTCATATCATTACAGTCTTATGCAAAAAGCTCAATTTCTGTTAACAAAGGAATGAAGTATGAAAATTTCGTCTGATTTAGGGCTCGTCTATGGGATATAATTGTTTCTTAGATAATTGAATCCAGTATTTTCTCTTCTCACACTCACTGAAGTACTAACATCTATTAGGGTACTTAGGTCAGATGGAATACGGGCATATCCAACTAACGAGTGTCAGACACACTGAATAAACATCCTTGATTCCTTTGTTTTTTCACAAACAATCTTTTCTAAACAAGATTGAATGAAGTGTTCTTACCAAACCTCAGCGAAACGTTCTTCTTATCCTCGTCATTTGTGCACAGACTTTTAGATATCTTAAATTTTCTCCAATCGTGTATTATTTTATTGTGAAATAATACTTCTTTTTAACCATTCTTTTTAGAGGAACTATCACAAAGGTTAATTGTATCAAGAAAATACTTGAAAATCATTGTTCCAGTGATGTGATCGAATTAATTCAAAATTATTTCAGAGAAACTCTACCTCATGGATGTGAACAAACAATTAACATTTCGGAACATTTCATACCAAAAATCACAAACAAAATCAATCAAACTGACTTAATCATGAATGATTATCGTCATATACACACAGAAATCAATTCTAATAAAATAAGATTGAATGAAACCAACGAACAATTACATAATAAACAAATAGATATTAAAAATGCTAAACGTAGTAAACACACTGATATCAATGCATCAAATTCAATGTTATTGAAAACAAATTCAAAAGATATGAACAATCATTGTAATAAATTGATAACAGATATCGTCATATCTAGTTCAATATTATTGATCACAGCTTTAAGATATGAATTTGATACTTGACAATAAATAACGAGTTTCAAATTTTATTTGAATGTCAAGCAAAGCAAATATAGCTGGGAAAATCTAAATCAATGTTCTTGTGCAGTTTTTAAAGTTAATAACTCTCTTGACTATTAATAACATCAAACAATAAACATCACTATCTTCGAAATTCAGCATTTATTTCATTGTCTAACAAATAACTTCAGATTTCATGAATTATCTATCAACATGTAGTATGGTTGTATTTGTTGAATAATGTATTTTGTACAATCAAAATCCTTAATTATTAAGTGATTGATTTTATTCACTCACTTAAAATCAATATGAGGATGATGATTTCCTGAATGCTCAACAAACAACATTTCATGTAATCGTGTATACAATTATGTTTTATTATTTTGAATAAATGATTTTATATGTAGGTATGTCTGATAATAATGAATTCGTTTATTACGTTCTAGTAGTTTACAAATGGGCTAGTTTTGAGATTCCTTCCATTTCTAAAATACTTGAACGTTCGATTTAAATCACTGGGTATCAGCAAAACTTTAAGTGTAAATGCTTTCAGTATCTCATTACGATATCTATGTCTTGAAAGACAAGCACTGATTTATTTGCTGGAAATATTCGCATCGTGTATATTAAATTAAAATATGTAATTACTATTACAAATATATTACAGCTAATCAGAATGCAATTTTTAATAAATATTCATAAACTTAATCTCATCTGTTTTCTTTTTTCTTAAACATTGCAATGAAGTAACTGAGAGAAGTAAAATAACTAATACCATATTGTTTACACGATAACAATAAAAAACGTTTATTCATTCGGTTACATGATTTTACTAGGGGGTTAGCATTACACATGAATTTCAGTGTAAAAATCTGAACAACCAAATAACTAAGTTGAAAGTGTTCAATTCTAATATTTTTTTTCTTTCTACAAGGAACGAATTAATGAAAGTGAATAATTATGAAGCAGAACTTAAATTTTGACCAATCAATCTTTTTGCTTACCGACCGCATACTTGGCTTATATTATAAAGGTTTCCGGAGATGGACTGAAATGTTGATAAAATCTTTCATCTTATTAAAGGTGTGGATGATGATGAATATTGCCGAAACTCATATGGGCTTCGCTTACTTTAAGGAAACATTAATTTCAAAATGACTTGTTTATCTCAACTGAACAGATTGTGAGTATCACTCCATCACGTTTCCACAAATGCTCTATCGTAGTTCAATTTAACAAAACTAATGAGAATCGATAGTTACTAACTTTGCTGTAGTGAGTTTTCCACGTATTTTTAGCCAAATGTCCATTAGCCTAAGTAATATGACAGATTCTAACTCATTCGCGTCCTAATTGAAGGATACAACGTTTCAAGTTCAAAAATATATTTTTCCCGTAAACATAATCGATTTGGGAATTCAGTAGTGTAGCTTTATATATATATATATATATATATATATATATATATATATATATATATATATATATATATATATATATTATACAACAATAATTTACACATTTTATTTAATTCAATGAATAGGGGGAAATAAAATCAAACGGTTCTGATAGTAGTGTAGAAAAAAAAGCATCCAATCACATTTATTTTCAATAACACATTCTATTCAAAAACGAAAAATGTTCATTGTTATCAAGTTATTATTATCAAAATATTCTAATCTATGCATTGGATCATTTTTGTCAATAATAACGGGAATAACTCTGATAAAGTATCAAAAAAAAAATCCATAAAAGGCTTTCATTTCATCTCCATCTGCCTTTATTTTGTTTTAAATTGCTGTTAGTAGAAATGGGAAAAATGCAAAACCAATCTTTTGGAAGTTTACATATTTTTAAATAAAAATATCCATCTTATAACTAACTTTACGGTTGAATCAACTTTACAGATAAACAAAATCCGATATTTTAATCGAATTATGGTGGAAAATAATTTCTCGACATTAAGAAAAACATAACTTAAATTTTCTAAAAAAAATAATTTCTTTTTGTTGGTCTCGATGACAATAATACAAATTATTAACAAATTATTTTCTGATATTGATTTGCTTTAAACTAGTACGAGTTCACCTTACTTGATAAACGGAAAAAAAGACCAACGATGCAATGACACGATAGGCTGTTCTTATCTGATTGTCCCAAGCCCCTTTAACTAGATCAAGAGGTCTTGATAAGGCTCATATAATGTATTCTACAGGCACCCAGAAAATACGAGGTTGCTAAGCGCACAACAGATGACAGATACGCAGTTGGGAAAACTTACAAAATAGCGTACTAAAATAATCCATCAACCAATGAGAGCCAAGGATTTTCTGAGTGGGAAATGTAAGCTGAAGGTCAGCTAAGCGTCTCTGGCGCGAAAACAAGAAAATTCAAAATTTCAGAATTAAATTACAAAATTAGGACCCTTTCCAAGTGAGTTCTGTGGAGCTAATCTCGCCAAAATTTGGTAATATTAACGTTGAATTCAAGTTATAACAAAAGTACGAATGTTTCTAGTTTCACTGCATTCCATATATAAGTAATGAAAATAAGCTAATTTACTGACTAAGACAACTAACAATTCAATGAAGTACATATTCTTTCTTCTAGTAGAAACACACAAAACTCCATTGTAATTAATTACTTTGAAAATAATATCTTGTGTACAGACGTTTTTAAACAAACGAATTAGCGTTCTGTTTAAAATATCAGTTTCCTCAAAAAACTTTCATTGAAATAATGACGTTAGTACTTGAATTAAATAATTAATAATGCAATAAATGAAACTGTCTGCAATCACGTGACATCTCAAAAATTGACGTTAACTTCGACAAGTTATTACATTGTAAGTTGATTGATAGAACTAAATCACCACACAGAAAATTGATATTGGTTAGTATACAGTCATATTTTTATAAAAGACGAGTATTTCCACAGATATTACTTGTTTTTTAGTGTTTGACACAAAATTTCACTATCAAATCAGGTCAATATTATTTCATTTCAAAATGATATCTGTTTCTGCGATTTTCGATAGTAACATTAGTGTAAATGCAGTGAGTAAATTCAGTCATCTGATTTAAGTTTTTTTATACGTTAGACTATGCACTACAACTTTATTCTCTATAGTCTGAAATGAAACATGATGGCAGATGAACGACCTAAATCGTGAATTAATCACCTGTATCATGTTATATAAATGTGAATCGTTGTTGATTTTATCAAACAAACTGTATTCATTTGTGATTCAAATCGTTCAAAATATCTACGGTTATCGTATATGAAGGATTTATATTGATGGAGAATTTCGAATCAATGTAAATGCCCTTTGAGTTATACAAGTTGGCTTTATAATCATCAGTATAAATGTTAACCAAATTGCATTTTATGACAAATCTCATTCATAAGCAATACAGTATAGAAAACTACACTTAATCAGGAAAACGTTCAACATAAACTCTAAAGTCTTTCTGGTAAATAAACTCGTAAATTAAGTTCATTGAGTCAAGCAGAAGTGAGAGTAATACATCTTTTAAATGAAATATGCGCCCATTTCACTTTTCAAATTGTTTATTACAGTTATAAAGAAAAACTGTTCATTGAAACATTTTATTTATGAAATCACATGGCTAGATATTTTATATTTTCTAATGAATATTGTTGTTTCGTACACACAATTTTTGTTATTGATCAAATATTCCAATATATATTTAGCTTTCATTTCAAAATTCTAAATGACTCTAGAAAAATTGATTTCTTTTCAACTGGAGAATTTTACAAAGAATATTTTTACTAAACTTAATTCCTAAATTTTTATTGTTTTTCCTATGACATTATGACGAGTAAATCGTACTTATTATTAACATTAACAGAGCTACGAAAAATTGGTATGCTGCAACATACGCTCACAGTAAATAAATCTCTACTACAGACAATCATCACTTCACAGGTCTACCTCACATGGATTCCCATCGTAATAGATAATAGATCTTGGATGAGCTAAATATTATCATTTACTAAAATAGGACACATCAAAAAGTGTACAGTCTTATTAACCAGACATTGTTAATAAACAGAATGTTGAAACTCATAATTCTGGCGAATCTGTCATTTTAAAATGTACGAATAATAGTGACATTTGGAAACCAATACAGACATTTTTATCTTGTTGCATTGATAATGTGCTGGTCTGATTCATTGGGGTACATGACATTGAACTGAATGACCTTGTTGTAAAATCATAAGCTTGGAAAATTGTAATTATTTACAGATTTATTGACAATCACCACTATTTAAATCTTTTGCTTAAGTATTATTTAAAATATTTTTTTTCTAGAAAAGCCTTGAGATTCTCAAATTATATTCACTGTATAGACAGTTTCGTCAATTCCCGAGAATATTACGTATAAAAAAACCGTCACAGTAGATATTACCATTATCTTTCCAAGTTAGTTGTTGATTCGCCTAGTTGAATTTCTTTGACTTTGTAATTAGGAAAATGAGTTGATTGTATGCTGATTTAGAAAACTGTGAGTATTTAATAAATAAACCATTTACATTTGAACAAATCGGGTGTACGTTGTGACTCTGTGTTTAAAAGATTTTTTTTTATTTTAGGCACTAAAATCAGTTTTAGATTTATGAGAAAGGTAGTGAATGTTTTTCTTCGGAAATATTGAAAGTGAAACATTTTCAGACGATCTAGTGTATAAAACAATGAATATATATAAACATGAAATTGTTTTCAATTGAATATTTATGCTCCAAGTGTTTGCTTTTTGATGAACGGAAACTTTGAAAAGTTCAACTAGGGAATATGTGTGTTTCAGATTAATTTGAACTGTGTCAAGTACAGTTTTTCAATACAATTAAGACCAGCGTATTTTGAAATCACATATTGTTTACATTAATCGTCTTAAGCACATAAAAATACAATCATAAGAGTATTTTGTGCGATTTCACTTTAAACAAACAGACAAAGGTTTTTTACTTTAGAATTTAGGTTTAAATTTACTAAGGTTTGATTATTTATTTATCTGCAAGCTTCATGAATTTATACTTAAATATTTTGCTTGATCTTTAATAATTCCTATTGTTTGTTATTTTACTTTGTAAGAAATGCATGGTGAACACAATGCACATTTGGAGAGTTCATCTTTTTACGAACTGACAATATCTGTATTGTTATTAAAAATTTTGATAGAACAGTGAGAAGACGTAACTGATCTGAAAAATATAATGTATTTGCGCCATACATTTTAAACAATCTAGTCACACATATTTACTTATCAAGGCATTTTATATGAAGATTAATAAAAGGTCAATTAAATAAAAGAACACATATAAGCGAACAATATTGTTTTCGATTAGATCGTCATCAGGCTTTACTCTAATATACATGAATATTTATATGAAAATGTTAAACCAATCAAGGCAATTTGAGTGATAATCACAATGAAATGAAAAAGGCAAAAGTACAAGTGGATAGTAGGAAGATAGGTGAACCGATAGTAGTAGGACAATTTATAAAATATGATAACTAAAGTAGGTCAAGGGTGGATGAATAGAAATCAAATAATCATCAAAAACATCAAAAACATTACCTGAGCTGGCCTCCTCTATGTGCATTTACAAATTCAGCTGCTCCTGTGGAGATAGCTATATCGGGCGTACTTCC